ATTATTATTATTATTATTATTATTGTTATTATTATTATTATTATTATTAATAAAAAAATTGAAAAGATAATTGATAAGAAAATGTTATAGAATTATGATCATATACGATTTTTTTCTTAATATTGTTTTTTAAAAACTTTAAAAAGAAAAAAGATTGCAGTAATTTCATTTTTGCTTGCACAAAAAAATCACTAAAGAAAAAAGGACAAAAAGTTTCAACTTGCAAATTAACAAATTGATTTGATAGCTACAAATAAATCTCGCGTGGCATTATCCTGGTACAATCGGATTGGACAGGAAAAAAGAACCCATCAAAAATTGTGACTGTCACCGTTGTTAAAGTACTTCCTATATTATATTTAAATCGTTCTTTGTTGTATTATCTTCCCCTTGTCGATGCCATCACTGTCTATGCTGGTGATAACGGCAATTATTTCGTATATTAATAATAGTAATAATAATAATAATAATCAAAGAAATTTTCATGTTTCATGCATGCATTTATTTAAATATAGGCTGGATATATCTCAATAATATTGCGCTTTCAATATTTTCTAATGCGCAAGCATAAATGAACACATTTCGAAGTATTTATCGGTACAAATTTAATTTAATTTAGCGTATTTTAAATTTTGTCCAAGAAATTTCTTTTTTCCAAATCTAATCGATAAAATAAAAGTGGCATTTCATCTGTTGAACCACTTTCACTTTCCTAACTTTTATTTCCAGTAATTACCACCGAATTAAATTTCTTTTTCATTCAAATCATTATATTTTTGAAAAATTTTTATGAAAGAAAAAGAAAAGAATAACGACAAGAGAGAAATCAAAGTAAAAAGAAGAAAAAAGAAAAGACTGTATATGAATTGATGAAAAAAGGAAGTTTCTCAATCTTTTCATTTTACACATTATTCTAAAGAAATATTTCCGAGAAAATTGATTTTCTTATCATTAACAATACAGATAACTTTGCTTTTAATTGTAATTTTTTTTCCCCATAATTTAAACAAATAAACAGTAATTCGGCAAAAAATACATCCAAATTTAAAATCCAGACTTTGTAGCAGTAGCAGTGGTAAAAGTAGTAATACTAGTAGTAGTGTAGTGGTAGTAGTGGTAGTAGTAGTAGTAGTAGTAGTAGTAGTAGTAGTAGTAGTAGTAGTAGTGGTAGTAGTGGTAGTAGTGGTAGTAGTGGCAGTATTAGTAGTAGTAATAGCGGTAGTAACAAACTTATTTTTTAATTCTTGAAATGTTCACACTTAGCACCCAATCATTATCGCCATCACTCACAGTTATCAAGGACTGTAACCGCGGGGATAAAATAACGAGGAATAGAACTCCCTATCAGCATCGAGCACCATATTATTCTTCTGTCTTCAAAACTGTCCGTTTCCATCAAGGAGAAACATGCCAGCCGTGTCACCCGGTTTTTGTTATATATTTCTGGAGGAGGCGGGGGTTTATATCTCTCGGATATGCATGTGTGTGTGTGTATGTGTGCGTCGTCTGTCTGTCTGTCCTCTGTCACATACATCACGATATCACAATATACATCGTAATCCCAGGAAACGCATACGTGTACAGGCAAGGACGGCTTGCTTTTCTCTCCTATCCTATCCTCGACAATCCCACTCATCCAATTCACGTTAACATGACTATTTCTAAAATTAAAATTCAAAACTTTGTCATTATCCTAACAAAAATCTTCGCTTTTTTCTTTCCATCTTCGACGATTTCATAAATTTCTTGAAAATTTTAATTTTTCAGTGATGCTAAATTATTCATCGGGCTATGTGATTATTGCCACATTCTTGGCTCTGTTGCCATTAAAAGACAACAACAACAACGACAACTGGAAGTACTGTTATTGCCATTTGGGAAATTGCGAATAATTTATTATTGGTTGGTCCGGAATTTTATTTCGGGGAAAAGAAATCCGGTTCCAAACCGTACGGAATTTTCATCCTATCAAGTATACATATATATATATATATATATATATATATTATTTCTT